GGTGTCAGGAAGGATGCAGCCACAGCTAGACTGAGATCCAGAGCAAAGAAGGAGCAGGAAGAAGTGCCCTAACCCGCTCTCTTCCTGACTTCTGACCTCTTGCCCTGCTGCCCCATGGCTAAGCCCAACAACAGATAAGGAAACTGAGTCATCACGCCCAAGGTCATTTAGCGGCCGAGCCACAGTTCAAACTAAGCCACCTGGTCCCAGAGTTCATGCCCTTAACCCTTCACTTTTCTGCTTTATGTTCATTCACTCAATTATCTACTATGTGCAGCTCAGTATTCCAGGCACTGTGGTTTCCAAACTCTGGGTTTCCTGATTTCCTTTTGAGACTTCGGTCATCAGAACATAGGAAACACCACTGTGTTAAAAGGGAGAGGGTTTTCTCTGCTGTAGGACTTGATGGTAGGGGGAGTGACAAGTGGCTTTGGCTTTTGTGGAGGAGGAGGTCAGCCCAGTAGAGGAAAAATCCAAGGGTTCTGACCAGTGTGGGACTCGTGTCACTCCGAGGGGCCTCCGCTGGTCCTGGGCCACCAGCAGGGACCTTGAGCTGGGAATTGGCACTGAGAAATGGGATATTTCCTGCCAGGTTGTTACCTAGTCCAAGCTCGCTCTGCTCGCCACACAACAGGCCAATGAATCCAAGAGACGAGGTGTTGAGGCAAGGAAGAGACTTTATTCGGGAAGCAACTGACCCAGAAGATGGCAGGTTAGCACCTTAAAATAACCAACTTATTGGGGTCTGAATGCCGGGTTATCTTATAGATCAGAGAGAAAGAAGCAATGAAAGAAAGAAGCAATTCTGTCAAAAGGCAGAATAGAGAGAGAGAGACAGTGGGGAAGCAAAACGAAAGGATCTTCAGTCTTGTAAAACATCTCCAAGGGAATGGTCAGCATTTGGAAGGGGTGTGTTAATCTCTTCTATTCATAGGTGGGCAGGGACAAGTTCAGTTCAGTTCAGTTGCTCAGTCATTTCCAACTCTTTGTGACCTCATGGACTGCAGCACACCAGGCTTCCCTGTCCATCACCAACTCCCGGAGCTTGCTCAAACCCCCATCCATCGAGTCGTGATGCCATCCAACCATCTCATCCTCTGTCATCCCCTTCTCCTCCTGCTTTCAATCTTTCCCAGCATCAGGGTCTTTTCCAGTGAGTCAGTTCTTCACATCAGGTGGCCAAAGTATTGGAGCTTCAGCTTCAGCATCAGTCCTCCCAATGAATATTCAGGGCTGATTTCCTTTAGGATGGACTGGTTGGCTCTCCTTGCAGTCCAAGGGACTCTCAAGAGTCTTCTCCAATACCACAGTTCAAAAGTATCAATTCTTTGGCGCTCAGCTTTCTTTATAATCCAACTCTCACATCCATACATGACTACTGGAAAAACCATAGCTTTGACTAGATGGACTTTGGTGGCAGAGTAATGTCTCTGCTTTTTAATATGCTATCTAGGTTGGTCATAGCTTTTCTTCCAAGGAACAAGCATATTTTAATTTCATGGCTGCAGTCACCATCTGCAATGATTTTGGAGCCCAAGAAAATAAAGTCGGTCACTGTTTCCATTGTTTCCCCATCTATTTGCCATGAAGTGATGCGACCGGATGCCATGACCTTAGTTTTCTGAATGTTGAGTCTTAAGCCAGCTTTTCCACTCTCTTCTTTCACTTTCATCAAGAGGCTTCTCAGTTCCTCTTTGCTTTCTGCCAAAAGGGTGGCGTCATCTGCAATCTGAGGTTATTGATATTTCTCCCGGCAATATTGATTCCAGCTTGTGCTTCATTCAGCCCAGCATTTCACATGATGTACTCTGCATATAAGTTAAATAAGGAGGGTGACCATATACAGCCTTGACATACTCCTTTTCCGATTTGGAACCAGTCTGTTGTTCCATGTCCAGTTCTAACTGTTGCTTCCTGACCTGCATACAGATTCTCAGGAGGCAGGTCAGGTTATCTGGTATTCCCATCTCTTGAAGAATTTTCTACAGTTTGTTGTGATCCACACAGTCAAAGGATTTGGTGTAGTCAATAAAGCAGAAATAGATGTTTTTCTGGAACTCTCTTGCTTTTTCTATGATCCAACAGATCTTGGCAATTTGATCTCTGGTTCCTCTGCCTTTTCTAAATCCAGCTGAACATCTGCAAGTTCACAGTTCATGGACTGTTGAAGCCTGGCTTGGAGAATTTTAAGCATTACTTTGCCAGCATGTGAGATGAGTGCAATTGTGCAGTAGTTTGAACATTGTTTGGCATTGCCTTTCTTTGGCATTGCCCTTCTTTGGGATTGGAATGAAAACTGACCTTTTCCAGTCCTTTGGCCACTGCTGAGTTTTCCAGATTTGCTGGCATATTGAGTGCAGCACTTTAACAGCATCATCTTTTAGGAGTTGAAACAACTCTGCTGGAATTCCATCACCTCCACTAGCTTTGTTCGTAGTGATGCTTCCTAAGGCCCACTTGACTTTGGACTCCAGGATATCTCCCTTTAGATGAGTGGTCACACCATCGTGGTTATCTGTGTTATGAAGATCTTTTTTGTGTAGTTCTAACAAAGGCACCTTAATTTACATTCAAGCAGAGGGGTAGGGTCCTCCAGGCAAGCTGGTAAGTATGATTATAATAACAAGAGCAATGAAAAGCAAGTCAAGGAAACAGTGTCCAACATGGAGTCAGAACTGGCTTCCTCCCCACAACAATATGAATAAACAAAGAATACCTGTCCTCTAGCAGCCATCAGACTGCAGTCACTCCCGAAGGTGAGCCCTGAGGAAACTCAGGATGTGAAAACACAGGTTACTGGCCCCAGAGAGCTGAGGTGCATGTCAAATAAATGATTTCAGTGAGTCCAGACTCTTGTATCTTCCCATACATAGAAAAGAGCTAAATTCCTTACCTTGGGGTATCTGGTTTTCTTTAACAATAATCCTTTGATGTTCAGACTACCTGCCATTTATTGCACAATTTCTGAATAACCTGGATCCCCACCTCGCCTGCTTGGAGCAGTTCTCTCAGGGTTACTTGAGATGCCGTCTCCCAGGCTTGAAGTCCTAAAAATTTGCACTAAATAAAATATAACTGTCAGCTTTCAGGTGGTGAATATTTTTTGAGTCTACAGCACCTGTGGGGGTGGACGCCAGGCCTGGGGCCCTGGGGCAGGCTGTCGGGTTGGGGGAAGGTCTAAGGTCCAAAGCTCACTTCTACGGGAAGTCCCGCCCCTGCAGACAGCCCCCAGTCTGGACATTCTCAGACTGCTGCCAAAGGGAGGGTGACTTCTGTGTCCCCCCGAGGTCCTCACTCTCCAGACTGTCTGCCCTCCCCCCCGTCTCCAAGGTCTAAAAGCCCCTGGGAGTCACCTGCTCTATTCCCTTCATTTTACAAGGGAAACAGAGGCACTCGAGGAAACAGGGCTTGCTGGGGGTCCGCGGCCAGGCAGGGGCCAGGTGGGAACCCTGGTTTACGGGTTCCCAGCCTAGAGCCCCCCACTTTGCCCTGGCAGGCTGAGTTCAGGGAGCAGAGGCCCCCAGGCACACTGCCGCCAGGCCTTTGTCCTTGCTCTTTGCTGGCCTGTTAGAGCTTTTTCCAAAGGCTGCTCCTCCTCATCCTTAGGGTCTCTGCTCAGCACGTCACCTCAGAGAAGGCGTCTGTGACCATGGTTTTGGAATGGCTCCCCACAAAGCCGGGTTCACATCCCTGATGGGTGACAATGGCTTAATCACTTCGCCCCTCTGAGCCTGTTTCTTCAGCTCAAAAGGAGATTAAAAAGGGCTGCTGTAGGCTGAGAGGTGGCAATGTAGCATAAGCAGTATGGTGTCCCCCACATAGTAGGTGCTCAATAAATGCTGGTTTCCTGCCAGTTTCCACCCGATTCTGGAAGGAACGTAGGACTCAAAACGTTCAGCACTGCCCTCAGGAGCACCTAGGTTACTTTCAGGGGTTGGGGTGGGGACAGAGGAGGCTGAAATGCTCAGCCCGATGGATACAAACACCTGGGCACAGAGAAGCCCAGTGTGGGCTTCCCTGCACTTGATGTGGAGTTCAGACCCCAAGCCCAATTCCAGTGTCTTTTATGGCTCTGCCACAGTCAGGGTGTTGAAGCATTCCAAAGACACATCCAATTTCAAGGAGAGGGCACAGAGACCTCAGCTCTCGATGGAAAGAGTATCAAAGAATTTGTGGACATATTTTTGTGCTAAGTTGCTTTGGTAGTGTTCAACTGTTTGTGACCCCAATGGACTGCAACCTGCCAAGCTCCTCTGTCCACAGGACTTCCCAGGCAAGAATACTGGAGTGGGTTGCCATTTCCTCCTCCAGCGGGACATATTTTTAAAAGATCACAATTACAGAAAAGCAGAAAGTGGCTAGTGCTTCCCAGATGGAGCTCATGGTAAAGAACCCACCCGCCAATCCAGGAGACAGGAGATTCTCGTTCTATCCCTGGGGTGGGAAGATCCTCTGGAGGAGGGCAGGCAGGAGTTCAAGGATTGGCCAAGTTGCCTTCCAGCAACTTTTACCACCAGCAGGGTTTGAGAAAACCTGTTTCCCAATAGGAGAGATAGGAAGGACGGGATGGGGTGGGGAAATTTTTTTACAGAAACAGAGTTGAGTATAACTCAACTGGCTTTGATTGCCGGTTCTGCCACCTGCCAGGGTGTGTGAGCTTGAGCCGGTGACATGGCCTCTCGGAGCCTCAGCTTCCTTGTCTATAAAACCCAGGCCTTCCTGGAAATGAACGTGGGGCCTTTTTGTGAGAAGGGTGGACAGAGTGTCACCGGGACCTAGGCCAACCCACCCTCTCTCCCAGGCGGTGCCAACGGGTCTTTTAAATGACCCGTGACCCCAACAGTGTTGCAAGCAGGTTCCAGTCACTCAGCCTCCCCTTCCTGATGCCCGGAACACACCCCGCTCAGGAGCCGCCCCAGCCCTCAGGCCTCGGCTATTTAAGGGAGCTGGGCCCAGCCAGAGGCTGCGACAGATCCAGCCCAGACCCCTGCGAATCCAGGATGGTGACCTCGGCGGGCACCCTGCCCTCCCTCCTGCTGGGAACGCTGCTCACATTCACCTTCGGGGCCCTGGGGGCCAATCCCGGCCTGGTCGTCAGGATCACCGACCGGGGCTTGGAGTACGGTAGGGAGCCGCGGCTGTCGGCTGGATTGGCTGACCTGCTTGGCCCCAGGCTGCTCTGGGAACAGCTGGGGACACAGAGGGGACTCTCTCCCTCAGGGTTGTTGCAGGCTTCCTGGTCAGGCAGCCCTGGCTCGGGGTCTGGCCTTGTCACCCAACCGTTGGGCCGCGTTGGGCACGTTGCTTGTCTTAGCCAGGTTCCCACGACCCAACAGAGAGAAAGATTTGGGGGTGAATGTTTGGTTTGGGAGCTGATTCCAGGAAACACTGTAGCGGGATTGTCACATGAGATGGGGACAGAAGACAGCCAGGAGAGGCATGTCAGTGAGCCAGCTACCGCCCCTATGCTGGCAACAGTTTTGCTGGAGAATTCTTGCTCAAGCTTGGAAACACATGCCCTAGAAGCAGAGGTTAGAATGGTGGTGACCACTCAGAAGGGGCACAGAGAGCCTTCAGGGGTGCTGAGAAGGCCCGGTGTCTTGCTCGGGGTGTTGGCTATGTGGGTGCATAAACATGTGAAAATTACCTCGCAGTAGGTTCCCTGGTGGCTCTGATGGTAAACAATCTGCCTGCAATGCAGGAGACCCAGGTTTGATCCCTGGGTTGGGAAGATCCCCTGGAGAAGGGCATGACAACCCACTCCAGTATTCTTGCCTGGAGAATTCAATGGACAGAGGAGCCTGGCGGGCTACAGTCCGTGGGGTCACAAAGAGTCAGACAGGACTGAGCAACTAACACACACCTTTAATAAGACAAGTGTCCTTTAGGTTGTGCTTCTACAGATGTTATACTTCAATTTAAAAGAATGGGCAAAAGTAGAACTGTATTTTATTTTTTATTGATGTATAGTTGATTTACAGTAATGTGTTAGTTCCAGGTATATAGCAAAATGACTCAGTTCTTTGCAAATTATATTCCATTATAGGTTTATTACAAGATATTAAATATAATTCCCTGTGCTATACAGTAAATCCCTGTTGCTTGTTTATTATATATATAGTCATTCATATCTATTAATCACATACTCCTAATTTGTCCTGCCATCCACATTCCATAATCATGTCTGTTTTCAATGTCTGTGAGCTTCTTTCTGTTTTGTATAACAATTCATTTGTAACTTTTTTTTTAAGAAGTTAAAACAAAGCCTCAGAAATTATCTGTCCAAGGGGCAAGGGATTGGGGGTATTTATATACCACTCCCCACAGTACTTGATGGAGAGCTGCTCCTCACATATATGGAGCCTCAATTGCCTTATCTGTTCAAATGGGATAATAACATTCCCTCAGGAAGAGTTGTTGGGAGCCCAGATTGGCTGGAGACAGAGAGAAGACAATCAAGGAGACCTTCTTGGAGGAGGTAAGGTAGAAATGATATATGAAGTTTAGCCAGAAACAAGGGATAGCGTCTTAGCAGAGTACCAGCTCCTGCGTGTGCGGGAGGGAGGGCTGCAAAGTGGTGAGAGGCAGAGTGCTCTTTCGGGGAGCTCAGTGGTCATCTGTGTACACACACCCACTCCAAGGGCAGAATCCTGGGTCTCTCATACCTCCAAATAAACAGAAAGTCCTAGTGTAAATACTGCTTATATTGAAACTCTAGATCAGGCAAAATTTGCCTCTTGTTCCTTTCCACTGTGTAAATGTAACCAGTCCTCTAGAGCTGGACATTTTGGTTCCTCTCCATATTTTTAAACAAGATCCACCTTGCTTTGACCTCCTGGGTGTTTACCGAGTGCTTCATGCATGCCAGGCACCATGCAAGAGTGCTTTTTATCCTGCCAGACTCCTTTTGGCTTTGCAAAGATCTCTCTCTCTTTTTTTTAAACATTTTTCTTTTCTTAGATTTTTTTTTTTTGGTTTAATAATTTTATTTATTTATTTATTTAGGCTTTGCTGAGTCTTCACCATTGTACGGGCTTTCTCTAGTTCTGGCGAGTGAGGACTATTCTCTAGTTGGAGCACGTGGGCTCCTCATTGTGGTGGCTTCTCTTGCTGTGGACCACAGGCTCTAAAGTGCAGCGGTTCAGTAGTTGTTTCACATGGGACGCTCGGCAGGTGGAATCTTCCCAGACTAGGGATTGAACCCGTGTCCCCTGCATAGGCAGGAGGACTCTTAACCACTGGACCACCACAGAAGCCCTGCAGTGACCTCTTTTAATCCTCATGCCACCCCAGTGAGGAAAGTATTGCTGTGATTGCTTTTGGACAGACAGAGAATGCCAAGGTTGAGGACTTGCTCAAGGTCACCCAGCAAGAAAGACGCCAATGCCAGGATCCTAGCCCTAAAATCTTTGCAGTCTCTTCTACACAGGCTAGACACTGTGAAGGACAGGAAAGAGGCCCAGCTACCAAGCACACAGCACTCCTTCCTCGTGGAGCTGCTGACGAAGACAGACACCCTGTCTCCTCATCCATAAAATGGGCATGAACACAACCAGCCCACCTGGAATGCCCTGATGCTCCTGAATATCTCGCCTGCCACTTGGTGCTATTGGGCGTGCATTTGTGCTTAGTCACTTCAGTTGTGTCCGACTCTTTGCAACCCCATGGACTGTAGCCCACCAGGCTCCTCCATCCATGGGGATTCTCCAAGCAAGAATACTGGAGTGGGTTGCCATTCCCTCCTCCAGGGGATCTTCTCGACCCAGGGATCAAACCTGTGGCTCCTGCCACTCCTGCATTGCAGGCAGATTCTTTACCCGTAGAGTTCCTTGGAAAGCCCCTGGTGTTCTAGAGGGGCTCAATAACCTGCAACCATAAGAATGCTAATCAGGAAGTTGGCCTCTTTCCCCAGGGCAGCTAGGAGCCACTGAAGGGTTTAGAGGGAGGGAAGCAGGCTGGCCAGGCTGACTCCCAGCTTTTTTGTGTCCTCAGTGGCCCAAGAGGAGCTGTTGGCCCTGCAGAGTAAGCTGCACAAAGTCACGCTGCCCAACTTTGACGGGGACGTCAGGATCAAACATTTCGGCAGAGTGGACTATGAATTCCACAGGTGGGGCTCCACGGTGGCTGGGCAGGGGCTGTGGGGGGTGTCCAGAGAGGAAGGGCGAGAGAGCCCCAGGATGACCTAAGACCTCTCTGGGGCAGGCAGTGGTGGGATGGTTCCTCGGAGAGTTCAGAGGGAAGTTCTGGAAGGAACTTGGGCCCTTCATTCGTTAATACAACAAATATTAATGAAGAACCACTAGCTATGTGACCTGAGCCTTTGTTTCCTTATCTGTAAAATGGGGATAACTTTCTGTCTCTTTGGAGTGATAATCCAGGCTCTGGCCTGACACTGGATGTAGTCTGGAAGGGAAGATAGACCTTAAATTGTTTTTTAAAATAAACCTTAACTTTAGATATAGTAGCCCAACTCTTGGAGCTGAGGTTGGCACATCTGGAGGCGTCAAGGAAGGCTTCCTGAAGGTGGTGGCATTTCACCTGAGTCTTCAAAGGATATTTAGACCGGAGCAGCTGATGCTTTAAAAAGAAATGCATCAGACTTCCCAGGTGGCTCAGTGGTAAAGAATCCGCCTGCAATGCAGGAGACATGGGTTCAATCTCTGATCCTGGAAGATCTCACATGCCTTGGAGCAACAAAGCCTGTGTGCCATCACTGTGGAGCCTGTGCTCTAGAGCCTGGGAGCCGCAACTACTGAGCTCATGTGCTGCAACTACCGAAGTCCCGGAGTGCTAGAGCTGTGCAACAAGAGAAGCCGCTGCAAGGAGAAGCCGTCGCACCACAACTAGAGAGGAACTCAGCCTCACCGCAACCAAAGGAAAATTGTACGCAGCGATGAAGACCCAACCCAGCCAAAAATAAATAAGTAAACATTTCTTTAAAAAAAAGACATCAATCACTTTCTGAAGGATTGACAATGAAGCAGGGACAGTTGAGCCCTTCACTCATCACACTCCTCTCTGCTCACCACTGACGGCTTCTTTGGTCCTTCTTTTATTCAGTCCATCAGTAAACATCTATCAGGCACCTACTGTGCACCGTGCAAAGAAAAGAGAACTTGACCATTCCTTTCCCACTGACAGTCCCAGGATACGTGTGGTCTGGGTTTGCTTCTCCCAGGCCTTTCGTGTCTCTTCTTGAGGCTGCCCTCAGCCTTCTCTGAATGAGTTCCCCACATGGATGTGGGGAGGAAAGTGATGATGGGGTGCATCTCTGCACTTTACTTGGGGTCCCAGCCAGGGTCGTGAGATCTGTGGACTCTGATCCTGCCTGTGTGACTCTGGGCAAATGCATCCCTTCCAAGAAGTTCTCTTTCCCCCTGTGTGAAAAGGGAACCTGAACAGGGCCAACCCCATCTGTGAGGCCACCTGACACAATGCATGCAAAGTACTTGGCATTGGCTGCGTGGTTGGCTCAGGGCACACAGCAGGTAAGTAGGAGTTGGGTACCAGGTCCCAGGGTGAGAGCCAGACCCCTGCAGAGACTAGACCTGCCTCTGCCTCCGCACTGATGCCTCTTCTGTGGGTCTCTCTCCCCAGCCTGAACATTCAGAGCTGTAAGCTGCTCGGCTCTGCCCTGAAGCTCCTCCCCAACCAGGGCCTGCATTTCTCTATCTCCGACTCCTTCATCCAGGTCACAGGCGACTGGAAGGTGCGCAAGAGGATACTGTAAGTTGGCTGTGCTCCCACGCCCTTGGAATCTTGACCTTGGCTTTCATTCCATCCTTCTTGGGTCCAGGGTGTTCTAGCTTTCCCCACAGCAGACCCCCAAGGCAAGAATCCAAGTCCAAGTACTTTATCTGGTGAGTGACTTAGGGAAACATCCAAGGGTTGTACAGAAGTGAGGAAGGGAAGAAAGAAGTCAGCTTGGCAGCTACTGGAGCTCAACCCTCCCGGGGTCAACCGTCTTGGGGACATTGTAGGCAGAGCACGTCTCTGAGTTATCACAGTCTCCTGTCTGCCATTGGTCAGGGTTGGGCTGACCTCTCCAGCATTTTGAACTGTTCTCTGACCTCTGAGGTTCTTAGATGGAAGGTAGGTTAGTCTCCTCAGGCTGCCATAATGGAATGTCACAGATCTCACACTTTTGGAGGCTGGAAGTTCAAGATCAAGATGTGGGCAGATTTAGTTTGCGCTGAGGCTTCTCTCCCGGGCTTGCAGATGGCTGCTCTGTCGCCACATCCTCACATGGCCATCCCTCCGTGAGCCTGCACCCCTGGTGGTTCTCTGTGTCCAGATATCCTCTTCTTAGGAGGACAGACTGGGCTCTAGGCCACCCAAATGGCCTCATTTTAACTGGATCACTTCTTTAAAAGCTCTATCTCATATACAGTCAAATTCCAGGTACTAAGTGGCCTTTAACGTATGAATTCAGGGGACACAATTCAACCTTTAACAGGAGGGCAAATATGGGTGACCTGGCCGTACTGACACTGTAGACCTGCCCTGTCCAATATAGTAGCCTTTGGCCCTACATCCTTACTGAGTACATGAAAAGTGGCCAGAACAGGTGGAGATCTGTTGTTAAGTGTAAAACACTAGATTTGAAGACTTAGTACAAAAAAGAACATAAGAAATCACATTAATAATGTTTATGTTGATCACACGTTGAAATGATAATCATATACTATTCAAATTATTCTCACTCCTTTAATTTTGCTTTTTTTAAATGTGGCTACTAGAAAATTTTAAATTTACCTGTGTAGTTCACATTATATTTCTGTTGGACAACACTGCTTTAGAAAGATGCTCAGGTATGTAGATCAGTATATTGGGCTTCCTGGGTTGCTCAAATGGTGATGAATCTGCCTGCAATGTGGGAGATCTGGGTTCGATCCCTCAGTCGGGAAGATCTCCTGGAGAAGGAAATGGCAACCCATTCCAGTAGTCTTGCTTGGAGAATCCCATGGGCAGAGGAGCCTGATGGGCTACAGTCCATGGGGTCACAAAGAGTCGGACACAACTCGTGTCCAGCTCTGCAACCCCATGGACTGTAGCTTAACAGGCTTTTCCGTCCATGGGATTTTCCAGGCAAGACTACTGGAGTGGGTTGCCATTTCCTTCTCCAGGAGATCTTCCCGACACAGGGATTGAACCCCGGTCTCCTGCATTGTAGGCAGACACTTTACCGTCTAAGCCACCATAGGTCATCAATAGTTGTTTTTCAGTAGCTAAGTCCTGTCCAACTCTTTTGTGACCCCATGAACTGCAGCATGCCAGGCTCCTCTGTCCTCTACTATCTCCTGGAGTTTGCTCAGATTCGTGCCCATTGAGTCAGTGATACTATCTAACCACTTTTTTCTCTATCAACCCTTTATCCTTTTGCCTTAAATTTTTGCCAGTGTCAGGGTCTTTTCCAGTGAGTTGGCTCTTCACATCAGGTGGCCAAAGTATTGGAGCTTCAGCTTTAGCAACAATGAAGCCTTACAATGAATATTCAGGGTTGCTTTCCTTTAGGATTGACTGGTTGGATCTCCTTGCAGTCCAAGGAACTCTAAATAGTCTTCTCCAACACCACAGTTCAAAAGCATCAATTCTTTGGTGCTCAGCCTTCTTCATGATCCAACTCACATCCATACCTGACTACTGGAAAAGCCATAGCTTTGGCTATATGGACCTTTGTCAGCAGTCATTAATATTTGCATATTAACTCAATTTCCATGACAGGAATCAGGCCATACTCTTCAAGATCTCTTCATATGACCATATGAATATCTAGCTCATTCTTTTTTTAAATTTCTTTTAATGTAATATTTTTACTGAGGTGAAATTCACATAACATGAAATTAACCATTTGAAAGTACCCAATTCAGTGGCATCTAGTACATTCACAGTGTTGTGCACCTGCCACCTCTACCTAGTCCCACAATATTTCCATCACCCTGAAAGATGCTCCACACCCATTAAGCACTCGCTCCCCATTTGCCCCTCCCCCAACCCTGGACCACCACCAGTCAGCCTCTGTCTCTATAGGTTTGCCTATCTGGGACCTTTCATATAAATGACATTATACAGCACACATATTTTTCTGGCTTTTGTCATGCAGCATAATATTTTTTAAAAATATTAGTTAATTAATTTGGCTGCATCGGGTCTTAATTACGGTACGTAGTATCCTCAGCCACATCATGTAGTAAACTTTACTCCCTGACCAGGGATCGAACCCAGGCCCCCTACATTAGGAGTGCAGAGTCTGAGCCACTGAACCACCAGGGAAGTCCCTTATGGAGCATAATATTGTTGAGGTTCATCCACACTACAGCACATATCGGTGCTTTATTCCTTTGTATGAATGAGTAATATTTCACTGTATAACAGGACCACATTTGACCTCATTCTTTGTAAAGGCTTCATCACATAGATGCCCATGAGTTATTGAACCTGTCCTGACTAGTTGACATTTAAGCTTAATTCCTCATTTCTTGCTATTCCCCATGATGCTTCAGTGAACTTCCCCACACAAATATCTTGACAGGATAGGCCACAGAGTAAAGACTTGGAAGTACAATTACTGAACAAAATTATGTAATTACAATCAGGATCAGTTCAGTTCATTTCAGTCGCTTGGTCGTGTCTGACTCTTTGCGACCTCATGGACTGCAGCACGCCAGGCTTCCCTGTCCATCACCAACTCCCGGAGACTGCTCAAACTCATGTCCATCGAGTCGGTGATGCCATCCAACCATCTCATCCTCTGTCGTCCCCTTCTCCTCCTGCCTTCAATCTTTCCCAGCATCAGGGTCTTTTCCAGTGAGTCAATTCTTCCCATCAGGTGGCCAAGTACTGGAGTTTCAGCTTCAGCATCAGTCCTTCCAATGAATATTCAGGACTGATTTCCTTTAGGATGGACTGGTTTGATCTCCTTGCAGTCCAAGGGACTCTCAAGAGTTTTCTCCAACACCACAGTTCAAAAGTATCAGTTCTTTGGCGCTCAGCTTTCTTTATAGTCCAACTCTCACACCCATACATGACTACTGGAAAAACCATAGCTTTGACTAGACAGACATTTGTTGGCAAAGTAATGTCTCTGCTTTTTAATATGCTGTCTAGGTTGGTCATAGATTTTCTTCCAAGGAGCAAATGTCTTTTAATTTCATGGTTGCAGTCACCATCTTCAGTGATTTTGAAGCCCGAAAACATAAAGTCTATCACTGTTTCCATTGTTTCCCCATCTATTTGCCATAAAGTGATGGGATGGGATGCCATGATCTTAGCTTTCTGAATGTTGAGTTTTAAGCCAACTTTTTCACTCTCTTCTTTCACTTTCCTTAAGAGGCTCTTTAGTTCCTCTTCACTTTCTGCCATAAGGGTGGTATCATCTGCATATCTGAGGTTATTGATATTTCTCCCTGCAATCTTGATTCCAGCTTGTGCTTCCTCCAGCCCAGCATTTCTCATGATGTATTCTGCATATAAATTAAATAAGCAGGGTGACAATATACAGCCTTGGTGTACTCCTTTCCCAGTTTGGAACCAGTCTGTTGTTTCATGTCCAGTTCTAACTGTTGCTTCTTGACCAGCATACAGTTTTCTCAGGAGGCAGGTCAGGTGCTCTGGTACTTCCATCTCTTGAAGAATTTTCCACAGTTTATTGTGATCTACACAGTCGAAGGCTTTGATGTAGTCAATAAAGCAGAAGTAGATGTTTTTCTGGAACTCTCTTGCTTTTTTGATGACCCAATGGATGTTGGAAATTTGATCTCTGGTTCCTCTGCCTTTTCTAAATCCAGCTTAAATATCTGGAAGTTTTCGGTACTATTGAAGACTTTGCTTTGCTAGCATGTGACATGAGTGCAATTGTGCGGTAGTTTGAGCATTCTTTGGGACTGGATTGAAAACTGACCTTTTCCAGTCCTGTGGCCACTGCTGAGTTTTCCAAATTTGTTGGCATAGTGAGTGCAGCACTTTCACAGCATCATCTTTTAGGATTTGAAATAGCTCAGCTGGAATTCCATCACCTCCACTAGCTTTGTTCATAGTGATGCTTCCTAAGGCCCACTTGACTTCACATTCCAGGATGTCTGGCTCTAGGTGAGTGATCACACCATCGTGGTTTTCTGGGTCCTGAAGATCTTTTTTGTATAATTCTTCTGTGTATTCTTGCCCCCTCTTCTTAATATCTTTTGCTTCTGTTAGGTCCATACCATTTCTGTCCTTTGTTGTGCCCAACTTTGCATGAAACGTTCCCTTAGACATCTCTAGTCTTTCCCCTTCTATTGTTTTCCTCTATTTCTTTGCATTAATCACTGACGAAGGCTTTTGTATCTCTCCTTGCTATTCTTTGGAACTCTGCATTCGAATGGGTATATCTTTCCTTTTTTCCTTTGCCTTTAGCTTCTCTTCTTTTCTCAGCTATTTATAAGGCCTCCTCAGACAACCATTTTACCTTTTTGCATTTCTTTTCTTGGGGATGGTCTTGATCACTGCCTCCTGTACAATGTCACAAACCTCCATCCATAGTTCTTCAGGCACTCTGTCTGTCAGATCTAATCCCTTGAATCTATTTCTCACTTCCACTGTGTAATCATAAGGGATTTGATTTAGGTCATACCTGAATGGTCTAGTGGTTTTCCCTACTTTCATCAATTTAAGTCTGAATTTTGCAATAAGGAGTTCATGATGTGAGCCACAGTCAGCTCCTGGTCTTGTTTGTGTTGACTGTATAGAGCTTCTCCATCTTTGGCTGCAAAGAACATAATCAATCTGATTTCAGTATTGACCATCTGGTGATGTCCATGTGTAGAGTCTTCTCTTCAGTTTATGGAAGAGGGTGTTTGCTATGACCAGTGTGTTCTCTTGGCAAAACTCTATTAGCCTTTGCCTTGCTTCATTTTGTACTCCAAGGTCAAATTTGCCTGTTACTCCAGGTATCTCTTGACTTCCTACGTTTGCATTCCAGTCCCCTATAATGAAAAGGACATCTTTTTTAGGTGTTAATTTTAGAAGGTCTTGTAGGTCTTGTAGAACCATTCAACTTCAGCTTCTTCAGCATTACTGGTTAGAGCATAGACTTGGATTAGTGTGATATTGAATGATTTGCCTTGGAAATGAACAGAGATCATTCTGTCATTTTTGCAATTGCATCCAAGTACTGCATTTCAGACTCTTTTGTCTGGAGAAATGGAGGGCTACTCCATTTCTTCTAAGGATAGGTCCCACCAATCTGTATTCCTGATATGTTCTCTCAACTAGTGTTTGGTTTTCCCATATCTTCACAAGCACTGGGTATGAAAATCTCAACTTTTTCTCTCTCTGATAGATGAAAACTGGCATCATTGTTATTTTCATTTTTAATCATGTCCATGTGCTTATTTGCAATTGAACTTTCTGTTAACATATTGAAACTCTTTTCTTTTCTCTTTTGTCCTTTCCTTATTACTCTGTATAAGCTTGTTCTTTGTGTATTAAGGAAATTAACTCGTATATTAGCTCATGTGTTAAGCAAATTAGGTCTCTGGCTAGCTCACAATGCAATTTTTTTAAATTTGCATATGCCATTGTTGTTCTCTAAAGTTTTCATTTTCAGTGCTGGCAAGCTCATAACCATTTCCATTATGGCTTCTGAGACTTGGATTTAACCTAGAAAGGCTTTTGCCCATCCCTGACCATGAATAAATGGACCCAAGCTTTCTTCTTGCTCTTTTATTGTCTTGTTTATAACAAATCTTTATCTCATAATAACTATATTTGTAATAATTTCTGTAGTTAACTTCTTACTCTGGTTTCATTTAGTTGGGGGGTAAGAACTGAGATTTATATTTCCCCTCAAATGGTGGCCGACCATAGTCTATGAATCACTTACTACTTCTCCTTTCTCTTCTAGGAGACTAAAAGGCTCCTTTGACGTGAAGGTCAAAGGCATCACCATTTCAGTGAATCTTCTCTTGGACAGTGAGCCCTCTGGGAGACCCAAAATCGCTGTCTCCAGCTGCAGCAGCCACATCCATGACGTGGAGGTGCACATGTCAGGAGATTTGGGGTAGGTCACTACAGGGACACTGACCAGCTTGACCCCTGGCGGGAGCTAGAGGCCCATCCAACCCAAGGCCCAAGGCCTCTGATAAGCATGATGGTCCAGGGTCCTGCATGGGCACATCATGTGCACTTGGAGGTAATTCTTTGGGGGACCTGCTGAGATGAACAGAAGCAGATTTAAGCTCAGAGTAATGCTGGGTGAGCCGGGCTTCCCAGGTGGCTCAGTGGTAAAGAATACGCCTGCCAGTGCAGGAGCTGCAGGAGACACAGTTTTTATCCCTGGATCCAGAAGAACCCCTGGAGGAAAGATATGGCCATCTATTCAAGTATTCTTGCCTGGATAATCCCATGGACACGGCGGGCTACAGACGAAGGGACTGCAAAGAGTCGGACACGACTGAGCATGCATTGGTGTGCCATTTTCACCAAAAAATAAAGAGCTTCACCACCATCAGACAAGTGCAGTTTGGCTACGGAAAGAACACAAAGGCTTCTGGTCAAATGAGAGTTTGTGAAAAACACAGAAACCCTTGAGCCAATCTCTTCAAATCTCAGTTTCCTTGATTAGAAAAACATGAATTTGTGACTTCCCTGATGGTCCAGTGCTTGAGATTCTGCGCTTCCACTGCAGGAGGGGCCAGTTTGATCCTGGTCGGGGAACTGAGATCCCAGTTGCTGTGAGGCACAGCCAAAAATTTAAAAATAAGAATAAATAAAGATATATTCCAAAAAAAGAAAAAGAAAAACATGGATTCTCCAGGTGGTGGTAGTGTGCGTGCTCAGTCATGTCCGGCTCTTTGCAACCCCATGGACTGTAGCCCACCAGGTTCCTCTGTCCATGGAATTTTCCAGGCGATAATACCGGAATGGGTTGCCATTACCTACTCCAGGGGATCTTCCTCATTCAGGGATCAAAACTGTGTCTCCTTTGTCTCTCACATTAGCAGACAGATTCTTTACCACTGAGCCACCTGGGAAGTCGCATGGAGTCTCCAGCCCCTCCTCTACATCTATTGAATTTGGGGCTGGGCTGTCAGATGCACTGAATCAAGGGGTGTGCTGGGAAATGGGAGTCTGCATGCTCATCCCATTCAGGATTCTGGAACACCGCAGGGGCCAGGATGGGGAGGGGTACCCTCTCTGGGGAACTGGTCTGACTCTCCCTGATGCCCCGCTTTCCCTGCATTCAGGGCCACCAAGCCGACCATCCACTGTGCTTCCCTCCCCAGGTGGCTGCTGAATCTCTTCCATAACCAGATCGAGTCCAAGTTCCGCAGGGTCTTGGAGAGCAAGGTAAGCTTGTCCAAGCAGCTGGCACTGCGGAGCTTCTCATGGGTTGGGTGCAGGTTCTCGGTGATCTCTGGACTTGAACAGCCCTAGGGGCTGACCCAGGCATATTTGGGCTCAAGGCTCAGAGGACAAATCAAGGTCATGGAGCTGGTGTGCAGCAAAGCTGAGGGCAAGATGTAGGTGTCTGGACCCCGAGTTATTCAGTTCGACAGAAAATGGTCAGATGCTTGGCCAAAGCGTCAAACAATAGGGAATAAAGTCGGCTTGGCCTTGCTCACTGCCCGCCCCAGCTCTGCAGTCCACAAAAGCCAAAAAGGAAATCAACACTTAGGTGCCCGTGGAGACCAAGCAGGAAGCTTTGGGAGTGTGTGGACCAGGTAGGAGCTCTGGTTCCTACCTGGGTGAACGCATGAGCACCTGCTTTGTACTGCTTTGTATAAACAGCAACAGTGTCGGTTTTCCTCATTTAAAAAAATCCTGTGAAATCCCCAAATTTTGGAATCTGTGGCTAAAATAAGGAGGTGTATGTTAACTTTCAGTTCTCTCATTCACCTACCTCACCCTAAAATCCTGGCCCTGGTGTATCATATACCTGGAGCTGCATTTGTAGCGATGACTGCTTGGGAAGAGAGACAGTAACGAAGAGGAAAGGGGAAACACAGGCACACACCTCTCTTGATCCAAGTCTGGTTTGGCTTGGAGTGCCTCCTGGTGGTTGAAGTGAAAATAGCATGCAGACCCCAAGGATGGGACGTGGCAAGCAGTTCTGGTCCTTTTCTTGCTCTGGGGTCCCAGGGTCTAGGCGAGCTTGGGAAACACGCCAATCCTCTTCTCATGCACCCCGTTGCATGTTTCCATGCCTTTCCAGTGGGACATAGTATTCTTCATGGTGGTGTGGATTTATGCTCCCCTGTTGATGATGCAGACAATAATGACTAATAATATTATACAACAATAGTGCTGTGGATCCGGGTCTCCTGCATGGCAGGTAGATTCTTTACCATCTGAGCTAGAACTTGTCCTGAAAGTATCACCTCCTCATAGGAGCCATCAGTGACCCTCTCACTAGGCCAGGGCCACATGCGTGCTCTAGACCACCTCCCCCCGATAAGTCCCTCTCCTCCACTGTATGTGTGGAGGATAGGTGATAGCTGGTTAATCAAAAAAGCTGTTTAAAGTGAGGGCTCAGACTTCCCTGGTAGTCCAGTGGTTAAGAATCGGCCTGCCAATGCAGGGGACATGGATTCCATCCCCGGTCTGGCACTATTCCACGTGCAGCAGAGCAACTAAGCCTGTAGGCCACTACTATTGAGCCTGTGTTCTAGAGCCTGGCAGCCGCGACTACTGAGCCCACATACCCTAGAGCCTGTGCTCCAAAACAGGAGAAGCCAACGCCATGAGAAGCCTATGCACTGCAACAAAGAGTAACCCCGGCTCTCTGCAACTAGAGAAAGCCCTCGAGCAGCAATGAAGACCCAGCACAGCCAAAAATATAAATAAATAAATAAATGGAAAAAAAATAAAGTGAGGACTCACTCACACAGCCTTGAACAAAGAAAATATTTACATATGCATCCAAATATTTTAAGAAACAGTAAATGCACATTCCTTTGACCTAAGACGCAGAACCATTCTTTGTAAACAGTCTCTTAATTGGCCTAGCACTGTCCTTCTAACAATTAACATGCATCAGCCACAGGTTCCGGCTTAGATTTCTTTAACCACAGTGAGAATCTAGAGATGTTTGCTAAGTGATCTCAATGCAGAATCCTTCTGTATTTTTATAGTTGTTTTCCTGGTAAGCTTTTCTGGTCCACAGCAGTTTACTGACATTTTCTTTAAGCAACTCACCTTTCCAATGCACTTACCATAGGTTTTTCAACTCTTTTCTCAGTCTTTATTTCATGGGTTTACATAAAAAAGAATTTTTAATATTTATTTATTTATTTGGCTACATCGGGTCTTGGTTTCAGCAGGTGGGATCTTTCGTTGTGGCATACAGATTCTCTAGTTGTCTCACATGGACTCAGTAGTTGTGGTGTGCAGGCTTAGTTGCTCCACAGCATCTCAGTTCCCCAACCAGGGATTGAACCCATATCCCCTGCATTGCAAGATGGACTCTTAATCTCTGGATTACCAGGGAAGTCCCTACGTAAGGAATAATTTGAGTGATTGCAATAGCAAGGAAAGCAAACAGGTTTGAGAGCATGCATTTCCATTTCTTGAGAAGCACACAATTTAACTGGGGCAACAAATTCTGAGTGTTTACTGTGTGTGGTAGCCAGTTGGATGGGAGGATTCAGTCTTCCACAAGCAGCTGGGGAAACAAGTGTTGCAGGGAAAAGCCGATTCTGACTCTATGCTGGAACTGTTTCTTTGACTTGCTTTTCCTTGCTTTTGTTATTATACATAATGGCCTGCCTCAGAGAATCCTGCCCCTCTGCCTGACTGTTAAAGTGCCTTTGTTCAGAACCCTGGTCCACTTGTAGATGGCACAAAGGAAGAAATGAACACATCCCCTTTCCAAGGCTTGTCATTCTAGGAGATATTTGCAAGATCAATGGCCTTTTTACTTTGTTTCCTCATCTCCCCCATCTCTGATCTATAAAAGAACCCCACATCCAGACCCTGAGAAGATGGTTATTTTGAAGTATTAGTCTGCCGGGTCAGCTGGCTTTCCGAATAACATATTCCTTGTCTCACTACCTATCTCCAATCCATTGGCCTGTCATTCAGCGTTCAGCAAGCAGAGCGAGCTTGGACTCAGTAACACAAGGACTATTGATCCATCCAGCTAATCTGTTAAGTATCTGCATTAAGTATACACTTATTTGTGTGGCTATTGCTACTTAACTATCTAATTCCGCTGTTCAATTCTAGACCCTGAGAGACTAGGGATTCTCAAAGGAATAGGTCTTTCATGACGGAGTTTCAGGCAGTGCCTCCAGCCATATTGCCTCATCCGGCTGCATAGGCAATTACCTATGATGGACTTTAACGGGCCCAACTGGACCCAATTGGGGTCCACATAGGGGCAGACATATTTTTGATCATTTCTATTTTCTCGGTACCTGGCACATCATAAGCACTTATAAATTTTTGTAGAATCAATGACCAACTAGCAAAGATGTGAAATGGGACTGAAGCAATTAGCACAGGGTCAGACCAAAGCCAGCAAACTCACTCGGGCTTTCTTTTCCCATATTTTTCAGATTTGCGAAATTATTCAGGACTCAGTGACCTCTGAGCTACAGCCTTATCTCCAAACTCTGCCAGGTAGGACACTCCACCCATCCTTGATTCTCATTAATTTTTATAAGTGCATACATTAATATGTACCTTATGAAAACTTACATGGAGCAGCAGTGTTGAAAGTAAAAATTAAAAGTCCTCTTTCCTCCCCAAATTTTCTTCCAAGAGGTAAACTCTTGTTTTGAGTGTATACTCTTGGATGTTTCCTTTGCATGTACAAATATAAATATACACATACATAAGCATATGAATGTACATTCATATGGGCTTCCCTGGTGGTTTATCAGTAAAAGAATCCACCTGCAATGCAGGAGTTCAATCCCTGGTCTGGGAGCATCCCCTGGAGAAATAAACGGCAACTCCAGTATTCTTGCCTGGGAAATCCCCTGGACAGAGGAGCCTGGTGGGCTACAGTCCATGGGGTCACAAATAGTCGGACACGACTTGGCAGCTAAACCACCACCACCACCATACATTCACATATGTATTACTTTTGTTCATGAATATATGTGAATATGCATAATTATGAATATATACATTAGTCTATAATAGTAGAGACATTGTTCTTTTGTAGCCTGTATATCTTGGAGATCTTTTTCCATCAGCACATATAAACAGATCTCATTTTTAAAAATGTTTTTGTGGAAGTCAATACAGAGAGAAAAGTGCTCAAACTGTAAGTGGAGTTTTTAAAAATTTTTCACAAACTGAGCACACGCACTTATCAGCTTCCAGATCAACATACAGAACATGACTGGCCTTTCAGAGTCCACTCATGTCTCCTGGCACTACCCACCCCTCAAGGGTGACCATCCTCTCTACTTCTTCCAACAAAGATCAGCTTTGCACTTGGTACATGAATGAACCTATACAGTAATCACAGTCTTTTATCAAAAGCAGAAGGCTTTCTCTGTTCAACTTTAAGATATGAGGTCACTCCAAGGACCTCCCTGGTGGTCCAGAGATTAAGACTTCGCCTTCCAGTGCCGGGGGTGTGGGTTCAACCCCTGGTTGGGGAGCTAAGATCCCACATGACTTGCAGCTAAAACAACCAAAACACAAAACCAAAGTAATATTGTAACAAATTCAATAAAGACTTTAAAAATGATTCACATAAAGAAAAAATTTTAAAAAATAATAAAATATGAGGTCAATCCATGTGGTTCCATATTGTGAGTTCATTCACTCTCTTGCTGTGTCATTCACTGTGTCCACGTCTTTCCATTTTTTTTTTTAATTTGGAGGATAATTGCTTTACAATGTCGTGTTGGCTTCTTCTGTACAACAACATGAATCAGCCATACGTCTCTCCATTTGTTTATCTATAGACCTGTTGAAGGCCATTTGGGTAGTTTCAGTTCTAAGTCACTGTGGGTAGTGCTGCTGTGAATATTCTAGGTCATATGGACATGCATCTTGGGGTATATACGCAGGAGAGAAATTACAGGTTCTTGTGATGTGCCTAGGTTCAGCCTTACCAGATCCTGCCAAACAGTTTTCCAAAATAGTTATATAGATCTCATTTTTTTTTTTTGGCCATGCCACTCAACTTGCAGGATCTTAGGTCCCCAATCAGTGATCGAACTTGTGCCCCCTGCAGTGGAAGCGTGGAGTAACCACCAACCGCTGGACTTCCAAGGAAGTCCCTAGACTTCATTTTAATAACTGCACAGTGTTCTATCTTACGGATGTGTCTCCATTTATTTAGTGAGCCCCCAGCTGCTGGACAGGTAGGTTTGTTGTCATCCTTTCCTATTACCAACAATGGGGCAGAGAGCATCTCATACTACCTCTTTGCCTGCACCTAAGAGTACCTCTAGAACAGTTTTCTACAAGCAGAGGCTCCAGAGCTAGGCTACACAGGTAAAGTTGGCAGGGACAGGCCCTGGACAATTGGAGGTGTTCCCTGATGCCTTGGCCCCCAGGCCTCCACACTCACTGCTAACCTTCCCTTCAGCGGAGACCCACGTGGGCACAGAGGCCCCAGCATGTGGGAGAGAGAGCTCCTGACCCCAAGGTCTTGGAGGGGAGTCTCTGGGTCCTCTGAACATGGCCCCGCCTTCCTGGTTATTTGTTGATATTGGTAGGAGGCTGGTTTCCATGAAGATCAAGGTCTTGGTTATAAAGTTGAAGAGCAGTATCTTCGGTTGGAGAATTTTCCCTATCATATGTCTTCTTTGGTGTGAAGTTCTGGGTATGGATGGGCTGCCACACCTGAGCTCCTCCTGCAGTTAGGCTGTGTAGGTGTGTGTGTGTGTGTGTGTGTGTGTGTGTGTGTGTGTGTGTGTGTAAGACTCTGGAAACTGCTCAGGCTCTGGGCTAAGCACACCAGTCCCCTTGTGGCTAAATCATCAGCCAAACAGAAGAAACCATGTCACCTCTTTCTTGGTGAAGGAGCTCTTTGCCCCAGCACTGGGCTGGGTGGAGGGTCTTAAGGTGGAGGGGCAGGGGGCTCTGGAGACCTCTCCAGAGGGAGTGTGGGTCAGCCAGAGCCCTCACCACTTCTGCATCCTAATTCTGTCCCTTCCCCTGATTCACAGTCACAACAAAGATTGACCATCTGGCTGGCCTTGATTACAGCTTAATGGGGGCCCCTCAAGCAACAGCCCAAATGCTGGATGTGATGTTCAAGGTAAGGGTCCTGGGTCAGGGGCTTGAGTGGGTCCAGCCTTGGTGTGGCATTCCCTCCGCTCAGCCCTTTCTTGGGGCCTCCTCTTCCCCAGCTTCAGATCTGTCCCTGTGTCCCCGTGGTTCCCACTGTGTCAAGGGCAGGGCAATATGGAGTGGTGGGGAGTATTCCCAGAGCCAGGATCCTCCCATGGTGTCTTACATCACTTAGACCTTGAAACTTCCTTCCTCCCCTGCCCCCAGCTCCACTCCTTCACCTATCCCACCTTGCAAGTGACGTTAACCAGAGCTGGCCCTCGATGGCACTGAAGAGCTGGCCAAGAGGTCCTATAGGTTAAAACACAAAAGCTTCTGGTGAGCGTTTCATTAGGGGATCCTGGACATACACTTTGACCCAAAGGAAAGCATATTTTTTAAAACAATTTTATTGGAGTATAGTTGATTTGAGCGTCCCAGGTAACTCTAGTGATAAAGAATCCACCTGCCAGTGCAAGAGACGTGGGTTCAATCCCTGAGTTGGGAAGAGCCCCTGGAGGAGGAACATGGCAACGCACTCCAGTATTCTTGCCTGAAAAATTCCATGGACAAGAGGAGCCTGACAGGCCCCAGTCCCTGGGATCACAAAGAGTCAGACACGACAGAGTGACTGAGCACACACACGTAGATGATTTACAGTGCTGTGTTAGTTTCAGGCCTACAGCAAGGTGAATTAGTTATAGATAGACATATATCCACTCTTTTTTTGAGGTTCTGTTCCCATATAGATCATTACAGACTACTGAGGAGTGTTCCCTGTGCTATGTGGCAGGTTCTCATCAGTTATCTATTTTGTATTTAGCAGTGTATATGTGTCAGTCCCAGGATCCCAACTTATCCCTTCCCCTGCCTCACCTTCTAGTGACCATGTTTGTCCCCTACATCTGTGACTCTACTTCCATTTTGTAAACAAGTTCATTTGGATCTTTTTTTTTTTTTTTTTTTTTTTAGATTCCAAGGAAAACATCTTTAATGGTGGAATTTCAGGCAGTGTTTCTAGCCAGTGTTCCCTCATCAGACTCTATAGGCTCCCAGCTCAGGTGTCTAGCCCTGGGATAGACTTAGAAAAGTTCAAATGGATTCTCTCTCTCTTTCTAGGGAGAAATTTTTAGCCTAGAGGACCGCTTCCCAGTTGCTTTCCTTGCTCCTGTCATGAACCTTCCCGAGGAACACAGCCGAATGGTCTACTTTGCCATCTCTGATTATGCCTTCAACACCGCCAGCCTAGTTTATCATAAAGCAGGATTCCTGAACTTTACTATCACGGATGACATGGTGAGACTCGTAGCAGAATAGCTCTCACAGATGACTTTGTCACTTGGTCTTCCTTCCTCTTTCTTTTCCACCCATTTACATCAGTGAAATAGTAAACTATAACTAAGAAAAAAGATCAAGAGCAGGAAAAATATGTTAGCACAATTTCCCTTTTCACTTTGGTGGCCAGGAAGCTCAAAGTTCTTTCTCCATTATAACAATTGTGGAAGATTTTGTGGCTTGCTTGTCCATATTTTACTTTTCCCTCCTGTCTAGATCCGTTATCTTTGTGTGTGTGTGTGTGTGTGTGCACGTGCTGGGTCTTGTGGTGCACGGGGCCTTCTCTAGTTGTGGAGCATGGACTCTAGATTACATGGGCTCAGTATTTGCAGCATTCAGGCTTAGCTTTCCCATGGCATGTGGGATCTTAGTTCCCTGACCAGGGATTGAACCTGTGTCCCCTGCATTGGAAAGCAGGTTTTTAACCACTGGACCACAAGGGAAGTCCCTAGATCTGTTCTCATGCATATTTTCTTTCATCCTGATGGTTTGTGGATATTTAAAAAAAGATTTTAGTGAAGGAGGCAGGATAATAGATACACTGATAAATTCATAAGATTTCATAGAATAGAAAATAAAGACCAAGTTAAAAGTAAGGCACAATTATGGAGACACGGGACCCATAAATTGAATTTTTTAAAAACCACAGATCTGTGTGAGTGCTTCCTGTAGTCAAAATGGAAAGAGTACAGGATTTAGGGATTCATAGTGAAAAGGAGAGAAAATGTCACCTTAGCATTTACCTCTAAAACAAAACTGTCTCCAATGTGGCTTTGTATAAAGGTTACTACATTTTATAGTGGGCCACATCATGAAAATTTCTTTCAGTTTCTTTCAAATTTATGGGGTTTTAGGCAGCTGTTTCTTGTAGCTCTTTGTAAAAGCTGAAGCCTCGTGTTCCATGTCAGGATGGTGGAGGAAACACAATGCAGTCCAAATTGGATGGTCCAGCCAACCCTGGTAATAAATTGGAGACCAGCAGTGATGGATGGAGTGACATTTGTCCTTTGAGTGACTTCTCATCCACGCCAGGGTCATTTACTTCTATTGTCGTTTTTGAGTCACCCTTCCCACCTGTGGTACAGACCTTCCCTTCAGCGGAAGGGATCCTAGTAGCTGTGTTTTACTGAATGCCCACTACGTGCTAGGCCTTGGGCTAGATGTTTTATGCTCACCATTTCATTTAGCTCTCACAAGAGCCCAACAAGTGGGGACTATAATTATCTCTTGGACTTCCCAGGTGGCACTGGTGGTAAAGAACCCACCTGCCAGTGCAGGGGACATAAGAGACACGGGTTCAATCCCTGGGTCTGGAAGATCCCCTGGAGGAGGGCCCAGCAACCCACTCCAGTATTCTTGCTTGGAGAATCCCATGGACAGAGGAGCCTGGTGGGCTACAGTCCATGGGGTCGCAAAGAGTCAGACACAAATGAAGCAACTTAACACACACACACACACACACACACATACATGCACACACATAATTATCTCCATTTCATAGGTGAGGAAGTTGAGGCTCAGAGAGGGAAAGGGACTCAGCTGGGATTACATAGTAACAAAGCCTAGAGTCAAACCTAGGTCTGTGAGACTGCAAATCTCACTCTTGTGGACCCTCTGATTGAGTCCTGCATGTCACCTATGCCCCAAGGAGAGCATCCAGGACCCCAGGGATTCATGTGCTCACGGTGAATGCAGAACAAGCATCTCGTCGTTGCCATGGTAACCGCAAGCAGTCAAGAAGCTACATTATTAAATACCCTCTCACTTCCCCATCTCTCTTCAGACCTTCAGCTCTGGCCGGAGCACCTAAAACTTCTCTGTGTCCCTTCATTGCAGGTTCCACCTGATTCTACCATTCGACTGAACACCAAGTCCTTCCGCGCCTTTGTTCCCAGGGTAAGGCTTCCCTTAGCCCTCAGGGTGCAGGTTGAGCCCCGAAAGCCTTCAGGAGTATTCTTTGAAACCTGCAACCTCCTCTCAGCTTGATCAAGAGTCAGAAGGCCCACAGCGGGGTCCCCACTGAAGGCTGGGGTGCTACAGGTTTCCCTTCAAAGTCAAAATGACAGAGACCCAAGCCCTGTGTCTCCTGGGACCACAGGCCACCCGGGCTCTTACTGATGATCTCTGACAATCCCAAGGAATACCGACAGGCCCCACAAAATGTACCTCAGTTAAGGACACCAAGCAATCACAGAGGGTGTAGTAGGGGTCAGGCCCTGTTCTTGGAGCTTTACAAAAATTATCTTTTGAATGGATAATAAATTCTCATGGTTCAAGATTCAGAAGACCTAAAAAGTTATAGAGTGAAAATTCCCATCCACTCCTGTCCCCTAAACATCCAGCGCACACCCCAAGTCTATCAATATTATCAGATTGCACACATCCTTCTGAGGAGATTGTGTGTATATATGAACAAATGTTATTTGTCTTTCCTCTGTTTCTTTTACACAAATGGAGGTATATTTTACACATCAGTTCTCATCTTACCTTTTCCCCTACTGTACCAGATGATTCTGTATAGGTAAATAAAAAGCTTCCTCACTCTTGTTTTCCTGGGAATCCTGTCTGCCATTGTATTATGGACTGAGCATAGTTTGAGTATCTGGGTCTCCCATGGAAGGACATATACGTTTTCTCTTTGCTCTATCAGTGACACAGTGAATAACCCTGTAGCTCTGTCATTGCTGGACTAAGCTCTTTATGTGCAATGTCTCATTTAATCCCAAAGAAATCTACCTGTCTTCTCCTCTACCTTCTGAGTCCCCTTAAGATGCCGCTCAGATAGGCAGTAGTGTTAAAAGCTCCTTTCAGAAGGCTTGATGATGGCTGAGAGGAATTATAATGATGGGAAAATTGTTAAACTTCAAATGCTGCAGTACCTGGGTCACCTCCTTCCATAAGGCACCCCCGCAGCAGGCCCCTTCTCTCCCTAGAACCCCACAAAAGCCCAACCTGCCGCCGTATTGTTGGCACTAGCTTTGGGACCTTGGCCACATCCTGGCTCCAACAGCCCTTTTTGCCCAGAAAGAGAAGGAAACTCCCCCTCCTCCTTCCTGCTCACATCATAATCAACCTGACACAGAAGCAGCTCAGCTATCCTTTTGAGGGAAAGTGATTTACCTCCTCAACCTTCTAAACATCTCCCTTTTACAATAGAATGTAGATTTTATATCTGCATAGTTAAAAGGCTCTTGGGACTGTTCCTCCACCAACTTCCCCCCTACATGGAACAGTCTTGACCCCAGATTAAATTTTAATTGAACAGAAAATTGCCAGAGCTTTTTAAATGCTAGAATCTAGGTGTGTCATATCTCAAAAACATTGGCGTCTGCAGTTATCAGACTAGGGGGAGGGGAGCCAGGTGCGCCGGTTCTAGAGAAGCAATAGCTCTCAGCGATGGTCCAGGGAGGGGCGTGGAGTGAAAAAATTCAGTCCAACCTTTCTGGAGGATAGTTTGGCAATACCTGGCAGAAGCTTTAAAAATATTTTTGCCCTTGGACTCGGCAGGGAATGTATCCCCCAAAATATTAGCCAAGGGTACACAGGGGAGTAACCATTAAAAGGCAACACTTTGGAGACAACTTTATGCCCAATAAGATTAGATCAATTGCAGTACCCTCACACAGTGGAATAGAATACAGTTCAGCCAGGAGATGATGCAGGCTCTATATGTCTGACATGGAAGGATGTCCAGTGATACCTTTAAGAGAACAAGGCACAGAACATTTTGTGGAAATTAAACCAACAGGTGGTCTCAGCTTGCTCTAGCTCCCTCCAGGCTGTCCCAGCAAACCTGCATATTTTCTTCTCGACATAATCTCTTCATTCCACCCTCAGATAGCCAGACTGTACCCCAACACGAACTTGGAGCTCCAGGGAGCAGTGATCTCTGCCCCATGCCTGAACTTCAGCCCTGGGAATCTGTCCACAGCCGCCCAGATGGAGATCGAGGCCTTTGTGCTCCTGCCCAACTCCGTCAAGGAGCCTGTCTTCCGGCTCGGTGTGGTAAGGTTCAAAGCCTTTGCAAATGTTGTTGCCTTTTCCTGCTGGTTCTTCCTTGCACTGACCACCTGGTTAATTCCTTAAAATTGATCTCAACTTAAGGATCCTCAGATAGGCCTTTCTCCTTTTTTTTCTAAGTTTATTTATTTATTTATTTTTGGTTGCTATGGGTCTTTATTTCTCTAGTTGCAGAGATTGGCGGCTACTCTCTAGTTGCAGTGCACAAGCTTCTCATTGTGCTGGCTTCTGTTGTCATAGAGCGCAGCTTATGGGGCATGCAGTCTTCAGTCGTTGTGATGCACAGGCTTAGTTGCCCCACATATTGTGGGGTCTTAGTTCCCAGACCAGGGATTGAACACATATCCCCTGCATTGGCAGGCAGATTCTTAACCACTGGACCACCAGGGAAGTCCCAAGGTTGGCCTTTCTTGATTGCCCTTATCCCTGATCTATCTTACGACCCTTGTCACTTTTTTTCTTATGGCATCCTATTATTTTTCTTCATAGGACTTATGTAAAGATACTTATGTAGCTCTTTGCAGGTTTATTTACTTAATGTATGCTTGTTCCACTAAGTGAGTCCATAAGGAAAAGTCCAGATTTAGCGGCTAAACAGTAACAATTGCTCCCAGATGTTGATGTGCAATTTAATGGTTGTCATTGTTATCGAAACTGTCATCAACATATTTTAAATTAAAACATAATTTATTATTATTACTGTTATTATTTCCTAGAGCTGAATCTTGGCCCTGAGATAGCTAGAAAGGATCCCTTTAGAGATCTCCAGAGATAAGCCTCTGCACCTTGGTGGCTCAGACAGTAAAGAATCCGCCTGCAATGCAGGAGACTGGGGTTCAATCCCTGGGTCAGGAAGACCCCCTGGAGGAGGGCATGACAACCCACTCCAGTATTCTTGCCTGGAGAATCCCCATGGATGGAGGAGCCTGGTAGGCTGCAGTCCATGGGATCGCAAAGTGCTGGACACGATGAAGCAACAAAGCACCGCACATCTTCTCTTGGTAGTCTGTTCAAAGTTTAATTGCTATCGTAGTCAGCCATGCCATGCTAAGTCACTTCAGTCGTGTCCAACTCTTTGTGACCCTGTGGACTTTAGCCCTCCAGGGTCCTCTGTCCATGGGGATTCTCCAGGCAAGAATACTGGAATGGGTTGTTATGCGCTCCTCCAGGGGATCTTCCCAACCCAGGGATCGAACCTGGGTTTCCTGCATTACAGGTGAATTCTTTACCACTAGTGCCACCTTGGAAGCCCATCATAGTGAGCAATTTCAAGTAAAAATGTTCAAGTCCAAGTTCAAACATTTATTGAGCGCCTACAATGAGCTTCCTGGTAGCCTACAGTCCAGTGGGCAAGTTCCTGCTTTAACTCAGTGAGGTATTTGCTTAGAGGAGACAGCCAGTTCTCATAGTTATGCATCCTGTACATGACAACCTCCTTCATTTAGACCTGTTTCTTTTTACTGGAATTTCCAGGCCACTAATGTGTCTGCCATGTTGACCTTCAACACCAGCAAGATCACTGGATTCTTGGAGCCAGGAAAGTAAGTCAGCCTACTGCCCACGTGGGGACGCTCAACTGGGCTCACTCCATCTGACACTGCAGCTGATTCAGTGCAGCTGGAGGTGGGATGTAATTGGATCCTCCTTCAACCTTAGGGCCCACCACTGGGTGAGGAAGCAAACTTAAATTTTAGCCCAACTGGCCCACTTGTTTTCCCCCACTGGACCTGTCTCCTTAAACTTCCTTTCCACCATTACTTCCAAACTTCTAAAGAATTTACTGTTTTCCCCTTATCTATGAATTTTAGACATCAGCAATACTGACTTCCTGAAATTATAGAGATTGAGTGCTTTTACACTACACACTTCTCTGCAAGTCTTCCCAGTAAGGCCGTATCATTGTTTTTGGTTCCTCAATAATCTTTCTCGCTCTCACTCTACCACACCCTTGGCGCTATGCCTTCTCCAGCTGGGTTTCCTTCTGGGGAATCCCCACATTAGGTTTCCCTTGAACATAACGCCCACGTCTCTGAATCTTCTCTGATTTGTTATAGGATACAAGTGGAACTGAAAGAATCTAAAGTTGGACTATTCAGTGTAAGTTATTGTTGTTTTTATGTAAGAAATGATTAGGGTAATAATTTAGAGTATTTACTAAGCAATGCTTTGGCACCTGTAATAGAGAAGGAGAAGAGTTACTCTCAGCCCTAGAAATCATAGAAGTCCCTGAGGACAAGAAACATTGGACAGAAGAACAGTTACCTCCCAAAATTAGGCAGTGTACAACTAAATCATTTGGTGGACAGAATTCTTTTAATTGCAAGGAAAAAAAGGCTAACTAAAAGTGTCTTAAGCAAAGAGGAGCAATGAATAGGATCATACAACTAAAAAACAAAAATAAAAAAGCTAAGGCTAGAGGTTTCAGGCATAGCTGGATCCAGGGGTTCAGATTAGTGCATCAATTTGAAAAGGCAGGGGAAGTTATTACAGGACTGTATGAAATCGTGTGTGCGAAACTTCTGAAAACTGTAGCACACTGTAGAGTTTAAAGAATCTTTCATGCAGTTTTTTAAAAAGAAAAAAGAACATGTATATATATTAAGAGAAGAATTTCTGCCTCTCCATTCTGTTTTTATCTGTTGGCTTCATCCTTAGGCAGGTTCTTCCCATTGGTGGAAAATTCCCGAATTTCCTGTAGTTTTATTTAAAAAAAAAAAAAAAAAGATTGTGTGCTAGTCCTCATTGGATTATTCTTAATCAAGTGCCCATCTTTAGCCAAACATCTTGGCTGGAAACTGGACAAAGCCAATCAGCCAGCATGAGTTTCATCTACACTCCCAGAACCGATATTTGCAGTCCCAAACCACATGGACTGAGAAAGGAAAGGAGCATTCCCCTGAAGAAAATAGGAATTCTGTTATTTAAACAAAAGGAATTGATGGCTGGGCAGGCAAAACCAAGAGACGATTTCCACAAAGAGGAAACGTGGCCGTGGCGAAAAGTCCCCATATGAAAGGAGAAAAAAGAATGGGAAGATTTGCGTGGGCTGAAACACTCAAGGAGAGATTTCTGAAGAGGGAAAGTGTGGTGATGTTCCTCCTCACAGGTCAAGGAGGGGATGGAAAGATTTAACCTACAATAGTTGGCTACCTTTTTACCATCCTATGGATACTGGTCCTCTCGGACCCCCCTCTACCTGCCCTCCACCGACCAGACTTTCCCTCAGGTGCCAGGGGACATAAACACATAAGTGTGAGGAGAGACGCAGCTCACACGGGCCCCGCAGGATGACTCCTTTCAGAGAATGAAGGATGAAGTGAACAATAACACACTAATGCTGTATCCGTGCGTGGCATGTAAAAATGTGTTGTGAAGTAAATTATTCATATGTAAAGAGTCACAAAAAGTCATCCTGGGACTTCCCTGGTGGAACAGTGGATAAGAATCCGTCTGCTAATGCAGGAGACACGGGTTTGATCCCTGACCCAGGAAGATTCCACATGCCACGGAGCAACCAAGCCCGAGCGCTGCAAGTACTGAAGCCCATGTGCCGGGAGCCCGTGCTCTGCAACAAAAGAAGCCACCACAATGAGAAGCCCATGCAGCACAGCTAGAGAGGACCCCCCACTCACCACAACTAGAGAAAGCCCGCGGGTAGCACCGAAGACCTAGTGCAACCAAAAAAAAGATATTTTAAACTAAATAAATATTTGTTTCAAGTCATCCTATCAGGTTTTCCCAACACCGACTGTAAAAAACAAGACTTGTAGATTCATATAAATCTGGATTCAAATTCTAGAAAGTCACTTTCATTCTGTGGTTCTTAGTTTTCTTATCTGTGAAATGGGGGCATTAATATTAACTTTGAAGACTTACAGTGAATCCAGTATATATATATATATATATCATACTCTGAGTCCTAATACCTGGCACACAGTGAGTGTTAAAATTGGGTATCATAATTTTTGTTTCAACTTTAAAATCATTTTTGTTATATAAGTGATTTTGGAAAACATTTTCACTGCAAAAAGAAAAATTAAATACTAAATTTAAGGCTAAGCCAAACCTTGATGTTCTTCCTAGAGGAAAGATCGTGTTGGTGTGGTGGTTGTGTAGTCTTCCAAAATTTTCTATTACTTTGTACACATATGAATATGCATCTCAAAATAGTTTTATCTTATAAAGCAATAGCATGATGTAGGTATCTACCTGAAATTTGCTTTTTTTTTTCCCCAAGGCTTTTGCCATGTCAGCACTTAGAGGACCACCCCACCCCTAAGGGTGGTTCTGTGGGTTTGTTGGTGGGCAAGATAGTACATGGGATTATGGTGTAACTCTCCTACTCTCCACTAGGCGGAGCTGTTGGAGGCACTGCTCAATTACTACCTTCGCAACAATTTTTACCCCAAGGTCAATGGTAAGAATCACTATGGACTTTTCTAAGTCAAGAGTGGACACTGCTCTTGGGGGAAAGAAAGCTGGAACCAGGGCTCTCCTGCAGGCTGCGTGATATGAGCGAGTCACTTATCCTCTCAGTGTCAGTGGCCTGTCTGTGAGATGGGAGTATTGAAGTCCGCCTCATCTTCTTCCATTGTTCTAAGGAGGGTTGGGGACACGGGCAGTTTTGGGAGCACAGGAAACCTCCTCCTAAGGGAGAAAGAAGGGCTCACAGAAGTGCCCACACCCACCCTGAAGTGACAGGTGAAAGACTGAGAACCAAATTAACATGCAGAGCACAAGGCAAGGTGGGTGGATGCTCAGTCATGTCCAACTCTTGGTGACGCCATGGGTTGTAGCCCGCCAGGCTCCTCTGCCCATGGGAATTCCCAGGCAAGAATTCTGGAGTGGGTTGCCCTTTTCTTCTCCAGGGGATCTTCCCAACTGAAGGATCAAACACGTATCTCCTGTGGCTCCTGCATTGGCAGGATTCTTCAGCACTTGAGCTACCTGTCCACCTCTAAATTTACATTTCCCAGTTAGTTGCCAACTCCTTAGTCAAAAACAAAAGCTTAAAGACTTAAACCCTCTTTCCATGAGGCCCTGCTTCATTTGGCTGCAGTAGAAAGCAGGATACAGGTAGGGGGCCGAGAGCAAGTACCCACTAGCTTCTTATCATGAGTGGACACTGCCCTATCCTTGCCTCTACCTCCACGGAGCACCATGGCTGAGAGTTCAGGCTCCTGTGTCAGCCTGCCTGGCATCAAGCCTCAGTTCTTCCGCGTTCTAGCTGTGTGACCTAGCACAAGTTACTTGGCCATTCAGTTTCCTTATCTGAACTTGAGAATAGTAATCCCAATCTTCGGTTATAATTAAATGGGAATATACTGTGTATGGAGTTTGCAGAGAGGAACTTGTTTTTGGTAAAATTTTCTCCATAATTATTTACTAACAAATCTCTCAACGTTCTGCCTCTACCTCCAGATAAGTTGGCAGAAGGCTTTCCCCTCCCTCTGCTAAAGAGAATTCAGCTCTACGACCCCATTCTCCAGATCCACAAGGTCAGTGGGTTCAGGGGGGCTCTGAGGATTTGGGGAGGGAATTGGTGAGCTTTCCTGCTTGGCAGGCTATAACTCAGTGGGTGAGACCCAGCCCAACCCTGCAGCTGGGAAAGCCTGGACTGGGGTGGAACAATTTGGGGTCAGCTGGGATGCCTTGAAGACATCCATGTGTGCTTTATAAGTGGCACCTAATAAATTGTCCTTTATTAGGGCAGGAAGGATTTGACACAATCTGTGTCACAAATTTTCCACCTCCACCCCTCACCATGGGTGACCAAGGGGAGCCTCAGGATGAACTCATTTTGGAAATACAGCAGTCCTAAACACACCAACAGTTCAGGTTCTGAAAGGCATTTGTGCATTTTTGAAATTTCTCATTTCTTGGGATTTCCATAGTGGTCCAGTGGTTAGGACTCAGCACTTTCGCTGCTGAGGGCCCACGTTCAATCCCTGGTTAGGGAACTAAGTTTCTGCAAGCCTCACTGCAAGGCCAAAACATAGAATGGAATAGAATGGAATGGAATGAGATGGAATGGAATGGAAAAGAATAGAAAAAAGTGGAATAGAATAGCATTTATTCTTATTACTTAAGTGCAAGAGGTTTGTCATGGATTCATGTTTGGTGTGCTGACCCTCATAAACCCATTGCCCCACCACACCCACAGCCTGACTTATGGTGTCCTTCCTTCCAGCCTGTTGTTTTCTCTAAGCACTTTTTGAAATTGTTTTGGATAGTTGCCTTGCTAGCTCTCAGACTTGTTATTCTTTCTTCTCTTTTTTTCTTTTTGTTGCAATTGAGTCTCCTCTCCACCTATGTTGAATACTGTCCCAACCAAGCCATGAACCATCATTTATAACTATTTGAATACCGAGGAATATGTCTTATTCTTCATTAGACTCTCTACTATTCTGGCCGAGGATTTTATGCACCTTCTGTGCCCCACGGTTCAGGTTATCTTTCTAGAACAGCATCTGTGAGGTGGGATGACTGGGTTAGCAGGCTTGTGAGCATTTAAGGACATACTGCTTTGTGCCTGATACATAGTCAACATCCGGCAAATAACAGCTACTGAAGACAGTGACAGGCAGCAGAGTGATCAGAAACATTGAAACAGACATGGCCTGGCACATTTGAAAAACAAATGTCTGGAGCCCTTCTGGACCCAGAGATAGTCAATATCCAACTCTTACTGAGAGCTTGTGAGGAGTGAGATAGATCACTGTTGAAAGCAAGGGCTGAGTGACAGTTCAGTCAGCTGGCCTCAGTTTTCTCCTCTGTCAAATGAGGTGTAGCCAAACCTCCCTGGGCTCCTGTGAAGTTTAGCGCTTTTAGCTGTTTGGCGTAACGCAAGTCATTAGACAATTCGTTAGATTGACCCTTAAGCAACACGGGTTTGAAAGTCCTCAGATTGGCTTATATGCAGATTTTTTTTCAACGAAAAGTGAAAGTCACTCAGTTGTATCCAACTCTTTGCCACCCCATGGACTATACAGTCCATGGAATTCTCTAGGCCAGAATATTGGACTAGGTAGCCTTTCCCTTCTCCAAGGGATCTTCCCAACCCAGGGATAAAACCCAGGTTTCCCACACTGCTGGCAGATTCTTTACCAGCTGAGCCACAATGGAAGCCCAAGAATAATGGGAGTGGGTAGCCCATCCCTTCTCCAGCAGATCTTCCCAACCCAGGAATCAAACTGGGGTTTCCCGCATTTCAAGTAGATTCTTTACCAACTGAACTATCAGGGAAGCCCTTTTTTCCCCATAGTAAATACTAAGTTATTACACCATCTGCACAGCTGGTTGAATCTGGGCATGCTGAACCACAGATGCGAGGAATCGTGGATACAGAGAGCTGACTGACTATAAGCTCTTCATGGATTTTCCACCCATGGAGCATCAGTGCCCCTAACCCTCATTTAACAACTGGTCAACTGCATATATAATCAACATGTGTTAGAATTTTGAGGTCAACTCTGCCAATGTGTTTTCACGCCAAAAACCAGGGAAAGAATTGGATTTTGCTCTGAGTTCAGAATTCCCGTGCCTTAGGTGATGGAAACTTACGAGGGGGTGGGAGAATAAGCCCCAGCAGCTCACAGTTTTGTGTTATTTGCCAAGGAGAGAGAATTTAGGTGACACGAAGGACATTTATGAGGTCTGCCAGAAAGCAGCAGCTTGGGAAATGACAGCTAAACTGCCACCTTAGAGAAGGTAGCCGGCAAAAGCTGTGCTTTATGGAGACCTTGGGACAGAGACACACGCTCAATTTATGCGCTGACCTGGTTTCTGACACAACGTGTGCTTCCCCAGATGTGGGCCTCCCTTTAAATCAGAGATGCGTCTTTTTGGAGCAGAGGATGCTTTCACCATCCCATCCTGTCTTGTCTCTCCTAGGACTTCCTGTTTTTGGGGACCAACGTGCGGTACCTGAGAGTTTGACGGCAACGTGAAAGACAGGGCTTGGAGGCCACAGCTGGATCGCCAAGTTGCATTTCCAGATGTGCAGCACTTTCCTGGAGATTCTGGGAAGATGAAGACATCTCTGTTATCAGCTGTGGGAACCTGGCCTCTGACCCTACCCTTTCAGCTGGTGCACCCACACCCTCTCTGACTCCAGACTTTACTTTCTCACCAGGGTAGACCATCCCCACCCACTGACCTGTCCTGTCTTTAAGGGCAGGCACTGTCTTTTTTATTCACCACCGAATCTGTGCCTAGAAGAGTGCTGGCATGTAGTAGGTCCTCAATAAATATTTATTGAATGATTCAATGAAAGAACCACCTGGTACTTCAGCTGAACTGCCGTACCACCCACCTTCTGCTACCTAAGGGGTCTTTGGATGGTCAGCTCCTTCTGTGGTCTCCAGGGATGAGCCCTGGCTGCATTCTCATTTCTCAGCACTGCTGCTGTGGAAACCTCCAGGAGGGAACACGGGATTTTGCTCCCTGCTCAGCCCTGCAGCTGGTGCTGATGCTGGCTCTCTCAGGCACTTATCTGTCTCAGTTCATGGACAGTTCATGAGCTCCTTTCAATATGTCCCCCCTCCTTCCCTCCCTCTCTGCCTGCTACAGACAGAGGAACCAGGGGATCTCCCAGAGCAAAAATTCAACCTCCTGCTGCTTTCTCCCCATTGAAACTGGTATAAATTAGGGGGAAATGGATCCGTCTAGATTTTGGGTCCAACCCAAATATAAAGCTCATCCAACTGATGTTTATGAGTCTCAAGCCTGGAGGAAGAAACCATGATTTCTGATTACTGAACAACCTACCTCTGATCAGACTTTACCAAAGAGTCATTTACAAGTTATGTAGTTGGGCCCCCAGGGACTGGGAATCAGAAAGCTCGTTGGATATTTTTTTAATTGTGTTATTGAGCAGATGGATGGAGCTGCCAGCTAGCAGATAATTCACAGGGAATAGACCCATTTACCCTGTGTGTGACAGAGATGAATTCCAAGTTGGGACGATGTACTGTCACCCAGCCAGCAGTGGGGTAAGCCGTGACTTCACCTCATCCCTTTTGTGCACTTGTTCACCATCATCCACCCCAATGATGGACTGTGAAGAGCTTGGCTTCATCCAGCGTTGGCCATGTGGCCTTGGGCAGGTCCCTTTCCTCTTTCCCCCACTTTATCCTATAAAATAAGGAAGCTAATAATGGTATCCATGACCCAGGACTATTATAATGAGAATATTAGTTGATCCATGTAAAAGGATTTATTTAGCCCTACTGGGGATTCAGCATTTATTGGCTGGACATCCTTACTAAGCATCTCCTGTTTGTAGGCCCTGAGCTGGTCAGCACAGGGGAAGGAGAAGCAGTAAAAACCAGCTCCAGCGCCTGCTTTTCAGAACTTTGCCTTATGGTGGAAAGAGCCAGTCTTGATCCCAACACACTTGCTTTGGGCCCCAGGGAAAGGGCTCCTAAAGTCCTCACGTGTCAATTTGCTGGTAACCCCTCCTTGCATGGTGACTAGGACACAATGGGTTCACATCCAGCTTCCAGAGGTGGGGGAAGAATAGGGCATAACCAGGTCCTGGTAAACAGCTGATGCATTTATCACCTGCTTTTCTCTGGCTCCCCTGGAAGGAGACTCTGAGACAAGGAGGTGGGGACAAGTAGTTTATTGGGAAGAGGATCCCAGGAAGCAACCAGTGGAGGAGAGGAAGTGAGTGGAGAAGGGAAGGCAGCCTTTAAATTCTAAAGTCCAAAAGATTCATGATCAAACCAGTGTCCACCTTAATCCCACTGAGGGGGCCCTGGGAGCCAGTGTTGGACCCTCCCCAGGGATCCACCCAAGGGCCAAGATTGCCAGGATGCTGTACATCATCTCCCATCAGTCACTGGTTGAAGGGATCTCCTAGAGGACACTAGTTCTCCAGTTCTTCTAGTGTAGACAGACCAGGCTCTGGCAGTCATAGAAATGTCTCAGGCAAAGTGCCAGCAAGTGCCAGCAAGTAGAACTCAGGTTGTCATGACTGACTAGTAAGATAGGTGGGGCCTGCATGTGGGCCCAAACTTCTGGATGTGATATGAGACTGTTCCCCACATTGCTTGTAAAAGCCATGGTTTGGTCTCCTCTGCATATTTTAATTTTTTAATGTTTATTTATTTGGCTGCACTGGGTCTTAGCTATGGCATGTAAACTCTTAGTTGCAGTAGGTGGGATCTAGTTCTCCCAACAAGAATCGAACCTAGGACCCCTGCACTTGGAGGGAGGGATCTTAGCCACTGGACCACCAAGTATCCCTCCTCTGCATATTTTTAAGAAACTCAGCATACTTTGCAAGCAAGTCCTCATTTCATAGCATTCTAGGTCATTCCAGGGCATTCCAAGGAATGGATCCAAGAAAGGACTTGGGGAAGCCCAGTACTTGATGAGTATGGAGCAACCAGGTTTGCTATGAGACAGGGGAAACAAACACTTATTTATGAAAGTACAAAGTATTTCTCACTCACAGAGCAGGAGAGGCCATTTCTACCCAGTGAGAATAAACATTCACTCAGTAGCAGAGCCTCAAGTTAGACGGTCATCGTGTCTTGCTGGGGTGGTTCCAGGACCACCATTGCCAGCCCTGGGTCCTCTAACAGGTTCTGACACCTTGAGACAGCATTTTCTAATAGTAACAGTCAGAACTCTGGGCTATCAGAGAACCATCAAGAGACTATAGAAGAACCACTGATAGCCGTTGTGCCATAGACTTCACCCCACACAAACTGGAGATGCTCTTCCTAGCTACAAAGTGCCTCTCCCCCTCTTCACTAACTTCCCAAGAGCCCTCCTACAGCCTCATACTGTTCCACATTTGTGTACATACACAGACAGCTTCCCCTCTCTTAAAGATGCATTGGATTTCCTGGTGAGGATGAACCACAATTTTTTTAACCAACCCACTATTAACTGGTCCTTAGGTTGTTTCCAATAATTGGTTTTTATAAGTGAGAAGCCCAACTTCTCATTTTAACTGAAGTCCAGACAACAGAGAATGAGATGGTTGGATGGCATCACTGACTCAATGGACATGAGTTTGAGTAAGCTCCAGGAGTTGGTGATGGACAGGGAGGCCTGGCGTGCTGCAGTCCATGGGGTCGCAAAGAGTCGGACACGACTGAGTGACTGAACTGAACTGAGCACTTAACCAAAAACTTATGTGAGATTTCTGAGGCCTTACTGTAGGCAATGACAAAGGCTTGACCTGACGGGCCTCGTGGAGGAAAACTACGGTCCCCAAGGGGGGCTGCAGTTAGAGACTCAGACACCCTGGCTGGCATGCTCCTTGCATATGTGCATTCCTAACCCAGAAGCCTTCATTCCTAAGTCTCTTTATCTGAAACCTTGGGCCAAGGTCTTTAGATGCCTCTGCCAAGGACCCTATCAGAGAGCGAAGTGGGGAACATTTTTCCCCACAGTGACTTGTTGTTCAGTTGCTAAGTCTCCTCTGACTCTTTTGCAACTCTGTAGCCTGACAGGCTCCTCTGTCCATGGGATTTCCCAGGCAAGAATACTGGAGTGGGTTGCCACTTCCTTCTCCAGGGGATCTTCCCAACCCAGGGACTGAGCCCATGTCTCCTGCATTGGCAGTTGGATTCTTTACCACTGAGACACCAGGGAAATCCATAATGATTCATGCTCAGTACTTGTCCACTCCAAGCACTCTCGCCACCCCCACCTCCGTGGCTTAGGGTCCAGGAACCTGCCAGAGGCTTCTGTTTGGGGATCCCCATCAATGAGATGACCCCAACATCTACACCAATCCCCCTGACCCACCTGCACATTGTCCAATGGAGGAAATGGAACAGGGGCATCAGCGCTTTCTCTGGTTTGAGCCTCTTGCTTCTATTTTGGATTGAGTGACTAAAGGCTTCGCTATGACTTTCATTTGGGCTTGCTGTTGCTTTAATCAACCACTCCGACAGCCCAGGTGGCAGCCCAGATATCTCTCCAACTCAGCTGAACTCATGACAATAAATAATGTTTCAGGAAATAACCTTATCCATACATCATTTCTTATTCATGCATACACACATGTACAGGAGCCAGCTCATCCATGAAATAAATGTCCAGAAATGGAATTCAGTCATTTAAAGAGACTCTTCCATCAGTTTAGCAGCTGGGTATTTGCTCTCAGTCTCCTCTTTCACCCTCCCCGCTCCTCCTGAGTATACAGAAGAAGGGGCTCCCTCAGACTCAGAGCGTTGACTTGAGGAGGGTTGTGTAGTAAAGAATTCAACTTGGCTCAGAGAGAGGTCTGGGCTTTGTTCTTCTGGGGACTAGATCCCTCATTCCATGGGGCACCTAAGCCTACACATCACAGCTAGAGAAGCCTCCAGGTGCCACAACTAAGACCTGAGGCAGACAAATACATAGACAGTGGCTCTCCAAGAATTCCCCCTGACAAAATCCAAGTGTTGGCAAGAACGTGGAGTAACTGGAACACTCGTCTGCTGCTGGCAGGAGTGTAAGTTGGTACAACCACTGGAATGACCTGCTACAGTTGAACGTGGCTATGCCCCAGCGATCATATACCCAACTGAAATGCCCGCACATGTTCACCAGAGACACTTACTGGTGTGTTCATGTACGCTCATCATCATAGCCTCCAATTGAAAATAACCCAAATGTCCATCAGCTGTGGATGGACACATGGTGAAATAAATATTCACACAATGGAATATTAAGCAGCAATGAACACGAAAGAACTTCAACTGAACATTTATATGCCAACAATTCATTTAGCCACCCCATTTACAGTCCCTCTCTCAAGAAAGCTATGTAACTTCATTTTCTGGGGGTGGGGCCGGGGTTGTGTCTCACCGCACAGCTTGCAAGATTTTGGTTCCCCAACCAGGAATTGAATGGGGCCACAGTAGCAAAAGCACCAAGTCCTAACCAGTGGACCACCAGGGAATTCCCAGTAGCTTCATATTTTTGGCTTC